GGGCAACATTGATTTCTTGCTTTCCAAGATCCTTTCTTTAGTAATCTCACAAAGCAGACATCTCTATGTACACGTAGGAGTATGATTAATCTTAAATTGGAAATTTTTACGACCCTTAAAATTTAAAATACCACATCAAACTTAAAAAGTTAGAACGAGAACTGAATAAAATAATACATAATGGCACAGAGCTCAAGTATTCCTGTGACAAGATTTCTAGTATATTAGATGGTAGGATGAAGTGAGGTGTTTGTAAGTGATCCTTGTATGTTTCAAAATAGCTAGGATTACCCGGATAAAATGAGTGTGAGATGATGGTGAAATAATGAAAATGTATATATAACAACATAAATGAATAGAAGTAAAGAATGTGATCATTTAATTTAAATTAGATTCTTGACTCGATTGTTATTTGACTTTAGGGGAGTTACATCAAGATTTTAATGACACCCAATTAAGAACATTATTCAAAATAAAAGCCACTATCACTGGACATTTCTGTGATCCAATAGACAAACGACTATGTATAATAAATTACTTTCTCTATCCCACTTAATTTGTACATTATTTTTATTTCCATCCGTCCTACATAATTTGTCATTTCCGTTTTTAGAAATATAATTATACACTTTAATTACATTTAGAAATTCATAATTTATATATATTTTTATTTTAATTAAACTATTTAGTCATATAAATCTTAATCTATAATTATTTTTATGTAATCATAATTATTTTTACTAATACACTTCTTTATCACTTACTAATTTGTAATACCCCCGGAGTTAGGATGGTGCTAGGCCAACTCCCGTGGATGAGCCGGTGCCAGGCCATCCGAGGTTTGAATATAGGTTAAATTGATTGAATAAACTACTCATAGCAACAATATGTACATTCCTTTTCGAAAACCATACTGAAAGAACTTTATAGTTAAGCGTGTTTGCTCTAGAGTAATTTGAAAATGGGTGACTCCTTCAAAATTCTCTCAGGGTGCGCATGTGTTAGGACGAAAACGTGCTAGAATGACTCGTGTTGGCCTGTTGGGTCAGTCCACAATCCTAACACGCCCAGCTTTGTGTGGCTTGCAGGTCGGGGTATCACAGTTGGTATTGGAGCCAACCTGCAATAGCTCGTAGTCGTTGACTATACTATTGACGGGCCTAGCAGTTGATGATCCTTGGGGTGCAATATGGACATTGCATTCTTTAGTGACAGAAGATGTAATGCCTCCGGAGTTGGGCAGATGCTAGGCCAAATCCCGTAGATGAGCCTGTGCCAGACCATCTTAGGTTGAATATAGGTTAAATGAATTGAATAGACTACTCATGTCAACAATGTACAAATTCCTTTTCGGAAGTCCTATTGAAAGAACTTTAGAGTTAAGCGTGCTTGTTATAGAGTAATTTGATGATAGGTGAGCCAACCTGCAATAGCCCGTAGTCGTTGACCGAACTGTTGATGGGCCTAGCAGTTGATGATCCTTGGGGTGCAACATGAACATTGCATTCTTTAGTGAGGGAAGATGTAATACCTCTGGAATTGGGCCGATGCTAGGCAAAATCCCGTGGATGAGCCGGTGTCAGGCCATCCCAGGTTAAATATAGGTTTAATGGATTGAATAGACTACTTATGTCAACAATGTGCAAATTCCTTTTCAGAAGCCCTATTGAACGAACTTTAGAGTTAAGCGTGCTTGTCATAGAGTAATTTGACGATGGGTGAGCCAACCTGCAATAGCCCAAAGTCGTTGACCGAACTGTTGATGAGCCTAGCAGTTGATAATCCTTGGGATGGAACGTGGACGTTGCATTCTTTAGTGAGGGAGGATGTAATACCTCCGAAGTTGGGCCGATGCTAGGCCAACTCCTGTGGATGAGCTGGTGTCAGATCATCCGAGGTTCAATATAGGTTAAATGGATTGAATAGACTACTCATATCAACAATGTGAAAATTCCTTTTCGGAAGCCATACTGAAAGAACTTTAGAGTTAAGTGTGCTTGCAATAGAGTAATTTGAGGATAGGTAACCCCTTGGGAAGTCTCTCATGGTGCGCATGAGTGAGGACAGAAGCGCGTTGTAAGGGCTCATGTTGACCTGTAGGGTAAGTCTAATCCCGACACGCCCAGCTTTGCGTGGCTTGCAGGCTAGGATGTCACAGTTTATTACTTACTAAGTTCTATCCCTCTTATGACTCTTTTTAATTAGGATTAAAATCAGATCACAACTACGCAGGTTGGCAAGGCAAACACGCACTTAATTTCTACGAACTATCTATCATCTGTTGGTTACACAATCTCAGGCTTATATAGTTAATCATTCTTTTCGTCTTTCCACAGTTTTATCAAGAATCAAAACTTAAACAATGAAATATAAACATGGGCTTGTATATTTCATTAACACAAATTAAAGCAATAAACACTATATTACAATATAGAAAAGTAAAGCAATAAAAGTTGCCTAGAAATGCAAAACTGGTAGAGAGTTAGGGGTGGTGAAAGCTTCATCATTCCCCTTAAGAAAACTTCTTATAGTTTGGAGCTATCGTGAAATAAAAAAAACATAGTAACAATAAAATTGCACTAAACACTTGCAATAAGCGTATTTACAAAGAGAAATCTAACATATTATAGAAGATTCAAGGATGGAAGTTGAGCAGTTGAAATAAAAGTTAGTAAACAACTAGAATGTTGTTGGAGATCAATTACAACCACTGAGTATTTAGGAAGTTGAGTATCTCAGCTCGCCCCCTCCATTGCTTCTTTCAATATGGGTATAGATCTTCCTCCTCACTTCGTTGTGGGATGGAATTGACGTCACTCAGAATAGAACTGATCTTCATTGTTAGTTGGAATAAAATGGTTGTACCGTTTCGACACTCACTTATCACGATTTTCGCTTCAGGGCTTCACTGTAGCGGTGCAAATTCACTGGCCTCTGAGACTTCGGCTGAACGAGATTCTCATCACTCAACATAAGGTATTTGTCTTTTTTGCTCTACTTCAGAATAAAAATTTAGGCTTGAATCTCACTTAAGTTGGACTAAAAAGTTAGTAAATCTCAACTAAAGTGTATTAGATCATATCAAGTGAAACAAGCCAATAAAATATGTCATAAGTCTAATACTGTGATAATTTTCGTACAAAAATTCAAGTAATACATAGGTTTTGTAAGTAGAAAATATGTTATAATTTGGGTTATCAGTCCACATAGATGTATAAAATCGAGTAGACCTTCTGCCCTATTGTATGCAGCTACCGGGGAAAAAAATGTGTTTTTGCTTGCCAATGAGACAACAAATACAAATTTCATCACCATGATTGATTACGGAAGCCTGTGTACTATGCCATCTTTAGCTAACTTATTTAGAGCTTCAATGTTTAAATAACCGTACCCAGGATACCATAACCACTCTTGTTGTCTTTCTGCACCATTAGACACACCAATCTTGGAATATTTAAATTTAATGTATACAAGTGGTTTTTAGCTTTTGGTCGTGGGTCCTCAGCACTCCTTCTTTAATCAAAACATCACACAAACGCTCATCAAGTTGCTAAATGCTTATGATACTGTTTTTGAACCTCGGAATGTAGTAGACATCTACGATCGCATGATGCTCCCCATTTGGGCTTGTGAACACCACCATGCCACGTCAAAAAATCTCCATGATCAAACCATCGCTGAATTTTACTTAATGACACTTTTATCCAATTTTGCAAAATGATCTTTGTTCCCAATCATGTAGTTGCTATCACCTATATATAAGTACCATACGTCACTGCAACATTTTTTCTTTTACTCTTGAGATTGACTTGGCCACTTGACTTATCGAGCTCCACAACACTAGGTGTGGCGTCTATTATAGTTAGTGATAGAGCAAACATGTGCTATGATCAATATTGGTTCCTCATCATCTTCCTTGACAAGGTGCATCTTTTCTCATCGTGGCTGCTGCTGCTCATAAATCTCTAGCACATTGTCCCACAGTTGCAGTATCTGCCCATACTAATGTCGCATTCATATTTGTTGTTGTAGCACCATTGATTTTAACTGGTCGTCGACCTCTTCCCCCGATGCTTCGAATACAACCACCATTATTTGTTGATGTCTGCTCGGTGCTCTATTTATTCCTGTGGCAAACCAATCATTCCTCTCCAATTAGTAAATGCTTACCTTCTATAATTGTGGTTGATGACACCGTACTCCGCAAGTTCTCCGACCAAATTGATTAAGCAATGTGCGAAATCTTCCGGATCTTCGCCTTTCTTGAATATGATCGTATCAAACTTGGCACATAGTTTCTGCAACTTCGCTCGATATACATGATTGGCTCCAACCCGGACGGACTTGATATAGTCCCATGCCTCATTGGCCGTCCTCTTACGAGCGATCATACACAACATCTCCTTTGGTACTTCTTTGAAATCTACTTTCAATGATGCACAATCTTCTTGTAGATAAGCATCTCCATACTTGATGGCATCCCACAACCCACTCGCTTGGAGCATCACTTTATCACAAACGACCAATCGGTGTAATTATCACATTTGAGAATTGGGTATGATGCCCCTTCAACTTCCTGTAGCTCTTGGGGTACACCACATCATGACCTACGACAAGGAATTTCCGACGAGATGGACCGTCGTTGGCTATAAACTTGCTCCTCACGACAAAATACTTTTAATTTTTACATAAACTACAAATATATACATAATAAACAAAAGACAAAAATATTAAAAATATTTTACATATGTCCATCAAGTTACATTTGTATGGGACCGAAGAAATAAAAATTACTATTCACATAAAACACTTGATAGTTTCCCAAAAAAATTCTTTTACAATTTTATTAGCTATACTCCATTGGTTTTAAAACTTACATCCTTAAATGATGCAGCAAAATTTGCACAATTTCTATATATTTTAATAAAATCGTGCATAACATAGCATGAAGAAAATAATAGTAATAACAATAATAACTAGTATACATACAAGATATAAGATGGCAGGTAGGTCGAGCAATGCACTAGATATAATTGGAATGAAACATACATGCATTATGCATATCAAAAACGACCACCAAATTTTCTTAAATGATACAAACAAACAAACAAACAAACAAACAAAAACACAGTACAAGAAAACATCCAAACAATGGGGTTGGGTTCAAGTTGACTTTCCTGCTTCTTTGGCTTCGGCAGCCGCTTCCTCTTCTTGTAATTTCTTTAGTGACGGTGGCGGTCTTGGAACGATGCTCTTCTTCCATTTTTTGTCCAGCTTTCGAGATTGCCTCTTCCCTATTCCTTCTTCTAACTCGCGTTCCCTCTTTACCGTCAGCATCCGAGCAATCTATAGTATATATACAAATAGAAATCATACGGTAGAGATTCAACATCCTTTGGTTTTTTGACATAAGAACACTTATATTGTAGAAGAATTGTAGGTGCAAATATATAATCGCGAGCTTAATGAATAATCATATGAAGAAGGCACTAGAAATAGAAATGACATTACAAAGAAAATACAGCATTGTGTTATCAGACGCCGACGGATTAATTTTTCACATGAGTAGAGTTATTAGGGACTGAGGTTAACTGATAACAAACTTCCAGCAAGAGTGTGGTGGAAAATAACGGGGAAATCGATATGTTATAGGAAATCTAATCTATCTTCCAGCCTAATCTAACTTGTATCCATATCCTTGTGTGAACTAGGAGCCACTATGCACCATCATTAGCAAACTAGTGCTTTTACTCCCCAAAGAAAATTGGTTGTAATTATACGACTCGTTTGACATTGCCAGATAAAAGACAATTAAATGTTTAAATGGAGGGTGATATTCTATCCAACAGCTTCAAAATCATGGAACTCAAGACACTAAAAAGTAATGAAAATTTGCAATTGTGGGGAAGTAACGTATATCCTGAGACTGAAATACAGTAGCTACTTCTTGTAAGCTAAAATCACAAATTTACACATCTATATATATTACCTATTTAGTAAAATCAAGAGGGGTATACTACACATAGTTAAAAAAAAAAAAAAAGACTTACATTCATTCCTCCTTTATTGACTAACTATATGTGTTCACAAATTCGACTTTTATTTGCTTAGTGCTTACTTGTAAATACGCAATGGCTTTTTCTACTAGTTCATGAGCAAACTTACTGAAGCATCCATACGAGTTTCCCACATAATCATATACAATCATTTTCCTTGAGATATGACAATGAATTTAATCCAAATGCATGGAGGCTAGAATTCAAGCAATGATTCCATCTCTTACATAAAATTTTTGATAATGCATCTAAAGGTTAACAACAATGAAATCAATGTGACAAGATTTGTGCAAAAAAATGGCAATCCTTTTGATTTTGTTACAAACTTCAATGCAAAAGCTACGCATTGTTGAAAATCTATTCCAATTTTGAATAATCGCAATGTTTATCGCATGTTAGCTCCAAATCGACGAAAAAAAACCACACAGAGTATACTTCCAGCTAACAAAGCACAGTCAAAAAGCAGAAATCGATATGAAATTACAAAGAATCCAACAAATTGATTCGGAAGCTAAAGCAGTACCCGTTTACGCATGCGGTGAAACTCGCTGGACTTGAATTCATTCCGAGCGGAGCGCTGGAGGCGGAGCATCAAAAGCTCTCCTTTAAGGTCTACGATTTCCTCATTCAGATCTTCAGTAGACTTCTCTCTTATTTCCTTCAATTCCTCCTCTCTCTTCGCCATCATCACCGCAGAGGCATTTGAAGAACGAGCGGTGGATATCCCATGGCACTGCGACCGGAAAAATTGCACCATTCTCACGCCGTGGAAGGCAGAAGAGGATGAAGAAGACCTCCCGAGGCTCGATTTAGAAATAAAGGGGATGGTCGATATGGAGAGGCTCGCCATTGCTGCTTTCTCTCGACTGTGAAGTCTTCTGAAGGTTGAAGATAAGCCAAGCCTCCTTTGATGGCGATATATAACTCAAAGTCGTGTTTTATGGCTGTATTTATGAAAGTGCGATGTCAGCATTATTATAAATGCGCTTTTTAAATGATGAAATTGTTATGCACCTCCTTGGCGGAAGCCTTTATAATTGTCCACTCCACAAATGCGAGTCGGCGATTCCGTTTCCCAAATTTGACTTAACTACAAACAAAAACCCTAATTGAAGCCACGATCACATCTCCTTAAACAATTCAATCGACAATTCTGTCTGTCGCGGAGGTTTTGTTGATGATCTTGTGGGGCAAATCGAATTGTCGTTCTCTGAGGCGATTTGTTTATCTGGAGTATGCTCGTGTAATGTGTGATTACAGGTAGATTGGAAGTTAAGGTTCGGGTGAAGTGAACAGCGCGACAGGGATGGGCGCGACGGGTTCGAAGCTGGAGAGAGCATTGGGAGATCAATTTCCTGAAGGCGAGAGATATTTTGGACTCGAGAATTTTGGCAACACTTGTTACTGCAACAGCGTCCTTCAGGTTTTTGCTGATGACCCACCTTCCATTAGATCGTAAAACCCCCCCTTTTTTTTGTTTTCGTTTCGATTTGTTTATCGGTTGGACTATGGTTTTGCCATGCGGATTCTCCGTTAATTGCTGTTTGTGGATATTGCGATGCTTTTTGAGAAGAGTGTAAGGAACCCCTCTAGAAACCGTCATTTGCAGTGTGTAGAATAGCGGACTGATGAACATGGCGGATAGAGACTGTTTATTTGGTAGTATTTTTTATTTTTAGATTTGCCTTTAATAATCTCGTGTTATTATGTGTTTCTTTAGTTTTTTTCCTCTCTCTTCTTCTTTTCGAGTAATTGATGTTTGTGACTGATCACAGTGCATATTTATCTTACACCCTTTCCGAATTAAATTGAGGTATAGATTGTAGCTTCTTGTCAATCATAATCTAAGTACTATTTCTATGCTAAATGCATCATGGTCGCTTATAATCCTAACGTAAAGAGTGAGTATTATTCAAAAGAAAACAGTCGCTTACTTCTTTTCTTCTCATTGTTGAAGCTTTTTTCTTCTTTTTGCTATTATTTTCTAGAATTTTAGATGGGGACAGTGGTTTTCTGTTTGTTTTCCCACTTGTAGAGATTCAATGTTTGCCAACACCAGGCAAGAGTCTTTTGCCAATAGTTTCGAAGAATAGATTTCTACCGACTCTATTTGGGTTTCGTTTTTATGTTTTCATTTGCTCTCTGTGCAGGCTCTGTATTTCTGTGTCCCATTTCGTGAACAGTTGCTTGATTATTATTCAAACAATAAATATCCTGCTGATGCCGAAGAAAACCTCTTGACATGCCTGGCTGACTTATTCTTGCAGGTAATAGATTGTTGTATAAAATGATTATTTTTGGTAGTTTTTTTATCTTGTCGTTCTTGTACTTGTATTTACTACTTTTTAGAATCAAAGTATGGAGTCTTTACTACTGTAGCATGTAGGGATCACAAGAGTCGTCACTTGTTGGTGCTGCATGAAATACTCTTTTTTAGAACCAACCAAGTGATTTATTTGTCATTGAGATGCACAAAATGGGTTAACGTTACTGATGATGCTCATGTTGAAGGATAAAATGAGTTGTATGAATCATAGTTGTCAATCACCGATAGTGGTGTGTAGAAGTTAACATCTAGAATGCTATAGCGAACTCTATTTAAATATTTAAAAATATATAAAAATTATTATATATACAAAATTACAACAAAAATACACAAGAAAAACTTATAAATTAATCTCGTAATTATCATTCAAACCAATAAAATGTCAAAAAAAAAGAGATACGATCATAATTGTTAGATAGTTATATAAGCAAAAACAATTAGATTACTATTGTGTGATAGATATATCAAAGTTAATCAAATTCAAAATCTGATAAAGAATTTTCTTTCTCATTTTCGTCATCCTCACTTAATTACTCGTCTATATATTTTTCTTCCTCTTTTTCATTCTCATCAATTTATTCTATTGTATGTTCATCACGTTACATAATATCATTTCCCTTGATAGAGATAGAAGTATCCATTGTTTTCTTTCTCATTGATGTATTGATGTTTGCATCCTAGTGTAAAAAGCAGGTCCGTTAGCTCCAGTAGCATCAACAACTCTTCTAGTAAAATTATCATTGTCAAAGACTAATTCATCCTCCGCAATTATCAATTTATTTAATCAACCACTCATTGGAATCGGATTCGTTCAAAACAGTAAAACCAATCACATCATTGCTACCATAACAATCTAACAAACTTTTGTTATACTTGATATAAACCAACTTGTGCACTTTTGGCTTTCTAATTTGTTATTTTTCTTGAAATGAATCTAAAAATTTAGTTAAGATTTAAAATAAATGTTAATTTTTTTTTTCTCGTCTATTTTATAATGAAAAAAATACATTTTATGAGTTAAATTTAGATTTTAATTATTTATGTGTTAAAAAATAATTCAATGAGCTACAATAGTGGTGTAGCTTAGCGTAGTGAAGTGCCGCTACAGGTTGCTACGCCATTATTGCATAAATGCGGAATTACGGAGCGGATGTAGCGACAGATTTCCTCTCCGCTACTCTACGCCGCTCTCGACAACTATGGTATGAATATAGTTTCATGAGCCAATTTGCGCTTGCAAGTTACAGCTTGATCCCGTTGATTGTGATTTGGGCTGCGGCCTTTACAGTTTCATATTGCTAAGTTATGCATTAACTTGGATAGACTTTTATCTAAATAGATGAAATTGATTATTCTTATAGATTACCTCACAGAAGAAAAAAACTGGTGCTATTGCTCCAAAGCGCTTTGTACAAAGGTTGAAGAAGCAAAATGAGATTTTTCGCAGCTTTATGCACCAGGTATGTGTGTTTACCTCAATTCTTTTTGAGGTGGATTAGTCTAACATTTATATGATCATATTTAATGATGGCATGGGCTTAGAGTGAATTATTATCGCAAGAATATTCTCTGATACGAGTAGTAGAGATTGTTCTGATGGTTATTACTTTTTTTGGGTTCATTTTCATATGCTGCAGTTATATTTATTTTATGTTATAACATTAAAGCTAACTGGTAGTTTAATTCTTTATTTTTGAAATCTGGCAGCACCGACATGCGTAAAGCTGTGTTATGATATGCTTTTCACTAGCTCCCTGTTTGTTTAGAAACTTTGTATTTTATGTTCTCCCCCTTCACTACACAATAGCTATATCTAACACTCAAAACCATGGGATGCAACTTGGTCTTCAATTTTATTATGCTAAATGATATGCATTATGCTGTGTACCTAACATGTTAACTTTTTCCAATTCCTTATGCCTTTTTTTTATGCTACATTATCCACATGCTTATATGATGTTGCTATCTTCTTTGAGTTGATCCTGGTGAATTGTGATGTTCATCCGCTCTTTGTTTCATTACTAGTTTGATCATGCTTCAAGGTGCTGTTTGACGGCATACAGGGTTTAATGATTGCATTATTGAAGCATATCTTGTTTGGAATTTATTTGAGTCCTTAACCATGGGAGCTTGTTATTATACTCAGATTGAAGTGCTGTGGATCCATTAAATGAGCTGCTGGCTGCTGGCTGTGGATGGACTAGTTGATTCATTTTGTTAGAAATATTGAGTTTCAAATTGTTAGTGAATTTAAAATTATATAGATCATGTGTTGTGTTCATTCGTCAGTCATATTTCCTATTTTTTATTGAACATTTTCTTGTGTTCTGTTATAATTTTGATTCTACTTATATAATCTGAACTGACTTTGTTATGATGAAAGTTATGTGTGCTGCCTTATGCAATCACTCATTCACTGTGCTCTTTTTTTTTTTTTTTCTTCCTTTTCTTTTTGCTGGAAGTGATTGTTATTTTGTTAAATTATAGTGCAAATTCATATTGCTTAGAATTACCATCTTTCACGTCTTTTACTATAATTTTTACTTTTTTCCTGAATTTTGCAGAGTTCATCAGCCAGTCTCACATTTGAGTTTGTTCTGATGTGGTATGTGTACTATTTATTGTAGGATGCACATGAGTTCTTGAACTATTTGTTAAATGAGCTAGTTGATATACTAGAGAAAGAGGCCAAAGATGCTAAGAGTGATCAAGAAAATTCCCCCTCATCTGGGAAAATTGCTAATGGAATAAAGGATAATAATACATTTTCTAATGGTCCTCAAAAGGAGCCTCTGATCACTTGGGTGCACGAGAATTTTCAGGTGAAGTTTTTGTGTGTGCCTGTGCTGATACTCTTCAGCTCATTTTCCATGCTTTACTTTGCTTTGCTTTCTCTCATTTTAATTAGGTACCTCTACACAATTGAAGATTTTGATTGTTTTTGTGGGCTTAATTCTCACCGATGGATATTGTGTTTTCAGGGTATACTGACAAATGAAACTAGGTGCCTGTGTTGTGAGACGGTGACGGCAAGGGACGAAACATTTTTTGACTTGAGCATTGATATAGAGCAGAATAGTTCAATCACAAGCTGTCTCAAAAATTTCAGCTCCACAGAAACTTTAAATGCTGAGGACAAATTCTTTTGCGATAAATGCTGCAGGTCAGTATTCACTTTTGTGTTATTCAATGTTGATGAGTATCTTTCTATTTGAGGGTTTGGGTACTCAGGTCAGCATAGACAGCTGTTTAAGTATAACGCACAATTTGTTAGCTATTTGAATGAAAACAAAATTCTATTCTGCAAACAAAAAGGTCCAAGTTGTAATAAAAAGTTCTTTTAATTCCAAAGTATAAGTGATTGAGGTTTCTGGTGCATTTGTTTTCTTATGGAGTAGATAGATATCGACCTCTGAAAAATAAATATGCTGTATTGGAAATATATCCATGTTTATATTCTCTCTTAAAAGCATTTCAACTGCGCATATGTACGAGTACAATCACTGTTGCTTAGGCTGGAGAGAATAATATCGAAAATGATTAACTTTATTGTTTATTTGTAACAAAGCTTTTTGTGCAATTCAATGCAGTCTGCAAGAAGCCCAAAAGAGAATGAAGATAAAGAAACCTCCCCACATACTGGTTATCCATTTAAAGAGGTTTAAATACATCGAACAGCTGGGCCGTTACAAGAAACTATCATACCGTGTTGTGTTCCCCCTGGAGCTAAAGCTCAGCAACACCGTCGAGGATGCAGATGCCGAGTACTCTTTGTTTGCTGTGGTTGTCCATGTTGGCAGTGGACCCAACCACGGGCACTATGTCAGCCTCGTTAAAAGCCACAATCATTGGCTATTCTTTGATGATGAGAATGTAGAGATGATTGATGAATCAGCGGTTCAGACTTTCTTCGGATCAGCACAGGAATATTCGAGCAACAATGATCATGGATACATCTTGTTCTACGAACGGAACGGCTCTCTGACGGTGGCCTGAAGAAAAGCTGATGGAGTCGAGGTGCGCTATGCTGCTATATATATTTTCTTATTGCATAGACGGTATTTTTTAAATTTTGGCCGCGACATAATTTCAGTTGAATTGAATTAAATGTGGATCCTGTTTTGAACTTTGGTTCTCTTTTATCCTTTTTGGTAAATAAAAATTGTATATTATGTATTGGTATTCTACACGCACGCCCTAGGTGAGACTAATAAATGGTTTTGCTTCCTCATTTCTTTGAACCAACTGTGTAGTGTTTTAATGGCAGTTGATGCATCAGTAGATTTTATATATATATTATACTACTACTTGTATAGTGTTATGCATGGGGTGCTGATTAATGTTAATTAGCATGCACAAAAATAGATAGACAGCATATAGTTTTAGCTTAACATAGTAAATGATGTGTTAAATGAAGCCATGTGTGTGTTGTTTTTGTACATCTTATGAGTTGAATTATATATCTCATATGATGTTAAGTTTAATGATAGTATGTGTGGAATGGATTACTGCTATATGTTGTATTTGTATTATATTAGCACATCTTGTGATATATATATTTATAGTTTGTGTCCTGCTCGAGTTAGTCCCTTGAAATTTAATTTATATATTTATTATGCTCGTAATTTTTAATCTTACTGTTAATCGTGAAAATTAACAATCAATAGTAAAATTTCGGGGAAGGCTCAATCAAACATGAGAATCTTTTAAGTTCCAAAAGTAAATACAAGGAAAATAAAAGTAGAAGAAATGTAGAGTAGTGATTTCCTAATAATTTCTCAGGATGGGGTATTTATAGACTTGTGCTTGGTTGGTAGAATCGATTGGTTTGTGTCATATGATCGACTCGTCGGTTGAGCTGCTGTTTGTAATTGGTTAAAAATCAATTTTTGGTTGAACTGAATAGTTTCCCATTTATCCTATCTGAAATCGGTCGAAATACCGGGCATGGTATTCGGCATCTTTTAAATCTGCGCAGTATCCGATTGTATAATTTGAGGACTGATTTGAATATTGTAATTGTCTAATTTGGAGACTAATCGATTCTTAAAATCTGCACAATTTTTGAAGAGTTTTTGTGTAATACCCAATCCGCCAACCTGGTTGATTTTTGCATATAATTTTGTTTAGGTAACAAATAGTCTCCTCTTTGGTTTTTTATTGGTACGATAAAACTAGTCAACATTTTATATAATCTGTTTTGCGGGCATTCATTTTTCAACATTCGAAATGTACCTAATGTTGTAATTCATTTAAAGTGTAGGGAGGATGTTCATATTGGTGCAACAAATTTTTGTGGAATAATTATTTATTTATTTTTTCTTTTGAATATTTCTTTGGGATAATCTTGTTTCAAATGATAATTATCTTTAGAATTTTCATCTTCTTTCTCCCAAATAATAATCTGAGGTTTGTTAGGTGGATCTAGAAAAATTATTCATTGGTGACACAATATATAAACTTTAAAATAAAATAAAGGCAAAATTGCCCATAACTCCCTTGTAGTTTCGAAACTCAGCGTAAATTCCTCATCTATTTTAAAAATTGCATGGTACCCCCTTATACTTTAAAAAACGTTGCATGAAACTCACCACTTTGAAACTTTCCTCATGTGATAAGAAGATGATTTCCTATCTATATGTTTTGTATGACAGGGGGATTTTATACAATATTTTTGAAAGTACAAGTGAGCGTCATGCAATTTTTTAAAGTAAAATGAGGATTTATGCTACGTTTCGAAACCACAAAGCAGTTTCATGCAATATTTTTTAAAATATAAGGGGATACCGTGCAATTTTTAAAGTAGAGGGGGAATTTACGCTGAGTTTTGAAACCACAAGGGAGTTATAGGCAATTTTGCCTAAAATAAATTAAAAATTTTAATCTTCTACAACTGTTCACTCCCAGATCTTTCACACTGTACTCCAACCAACGAAATTCATCAAATCATTTTGAGACAAAACATCGTACGTTACTTCGGATTATTTTGTTGGAAACACATAGCCACATGGTTGAAAAGACCCTCCTTGTAAATTCAATCTTATTTCATCTCTTTGATTGGTGTCGTATTCAAAAATTCTTGGCCTATCAACCGGATCTCACGGAAGATCTTTCAATTCAATTATCTTTGATAGTGTTGATAGAGAATATTTAAATGGAGAAAGATTGTTGGAACTATTTCCACTTAAATCATCACAATATACTTTTCTTTTTAATAATTTCTCCTTATAGTATAAAACCTAATTTTAATTTTATAGATGTAAAAAAAAAAAAAAATCAAAATTCATAATATATTTTAAATTTTATTCTAATTTTACCATAAATAACTTAAAATCTTCCGATAAAAATATTTAAAATAAAAAGTAACATCATAAAAAATAAATTAATGCACATATTTAAATTGAAACCGGGAAAGAACAAATAAACTATGAATTAGAATTGAAATGAAAAGAAGAAAGTACAATAAATCAATAATCTTATCTAACCACAGACAGATTTTCAGAGATATTGGATTGAAGAAGTTAATCTTCAAAAATATTGGATTTAACTGAAGAAGAAAGAAGACGCGGTAGCGGCTGCAACAGAGAGGGGAAAGCGTTGTGCACACAGAACGGTTGTGAATGTGAATGAGTTTAGTTTGTTTGATATAGGGCACAATTTTTATATAAATAATATATGTAATTAAATTAATTATATATTTTATATTTTTATAATACTCCCTCCGTCCCAGTGAAAGAGTGACGTTTGCTTTTTGCACGTAAATTTTTGAATATTAGTATTATATTGGATTGTAGTAAAAAAAAACAAAAATACCCCTATTAGTATAGTGTAATATAAAAGTAATTGTAGGCATTAAAAATTAAGGGTGTGTTTGTTTGGGGGTTTGGATTTTGAGTTGGGATTTGAATAGTAAAAATTTTGAATTTGAATAGTTGTATGATGTGATATAAATAGGTGTTGATGTGATGTTTTGAATGTAAAATTGATTTTTAGTATAATATAGATAATGAAAAATAGGTGTTTGATTTGATGTTTTTGGGGAAAAAGTTTTGGATGAATAGTAGGATTTTGATAAAATCCTACAAACGAACACACCCTAAATGTCTAAATTAAATTAAATATCATATACTTTAGAAGAAAATAAAATTCCAATGATATAAATATATGGTATTTAATTATGCACATATGTTAATTTTGTACAATAAATATCAACCATTAATGCAAAAATCTGCTTAAAATGGAAGATATCGTACAAATATTATGTACATAAATAGAGCCATAATAAATTTGGTAGCAAAATAAATTAATCTTGTCAATAAAAGAAGTATATAAATTAATATCTTCTAAACAACGCAATGATATAAAGATCTTGTCAATAAATGAAGTATATAAATTAATATCTTCCAAAAAAGACAATGATATAAAGATTTTGGCGAGAAAGGAAGGTGCACAATCAAATCCGTCAAGAATGGAAAACGGCATCCGATGGAAAATGAAATATTATAAAATCTTTCCATCCACGTGGCACCATCCGAAAAGGAAGCCAAGGCCACCCTCCCCTATAAATAGGAGCCTTGGCCAATTCATTACACACCGAAGTTCATTTGAAGACTCGCGCAAGGGTAAGTCTCTCTAGACTCTCTGCATGTTCTTCATTGTTCTTCGTGTCATTCGAAGCGTTCTTCGTCGAAAAGTCACCGATTTGGACAAATGAACTAATATTGGTTAACGAATCGATGGAGTTAACGTTCTTCGTCGTATGCCCGAGCTGGAGGAAGGATCAAAGCTCCCAAAGCCATCGAGGAATCCATCAAAGCTAAGGAAGAGCCTCCAAAATCGCTCCCGAAGCTTCAAGATGTTCGTCTCGTTCTTCATAAAAGGCACAAACCAGGCCCACTTCGATCCAAAAGTCAAAGGGACACACCGCCAAAAGCGTTATGGAGCACCAAATCCCCATCTTCAAAGATCAAATTCCGCCGGATCATCCAAAGGAGGTATCAATCCAAAGTTGACAATCAAAATCGCCAACACGGATACCAAAGCCCTCCAAAAGCCGGCCAAATCGAAGACCAAAATCCCTTCGGATCAAAGAAGCCACCCAAATCCAAGTTGAAAAAATGGATCGACCCGGGAAGAGAATCAAAGGATCCGAATATAGAATAGGACCCTCATATATTTAAATTAAATATAATTTGTACAAATTTTGTGTTTATAAAAATATAACACAATTTTTTTTTGTCTACAAATTTTTGGCACGCCCAGTGGGACAACTCTACATTTCATCTCTCTTTCCGTCGAATTCTCAAAGGATCAATGGCTTCCTACAAGATCAAGATCTCCAACGCTGTGTCGAAAGCTGCTGCTCTAGCTGCCACCGCCACAGGAGTCGCTGCTACTACATCAAAAACCTCAAGTGCTTCAACGAATGCTGGAGTGATGACACGAAGCATGGCTAAAAGAGTACTGTTATTTTCCGAGGATGCACATCCGAAAATCACAGAGCAAAACTCACTCTATGAGGAGGACGAAAGCTTCAAGAGTACCTTTGCACTGGGCACCCCTCAAGAAGTTGCAACTCGTTCGACTGCATCGAGTTATGCCCCGGTGATGACCACGAACGCTTTCAAACATAGAAGACCAACTTGTTGCATTGGCCAAAGTTGTTGAAGGGATGTCTCAACACATGCAGTAACAAAACAATATTATCGCAAAATTGCTTGCAAAATTAGACAAGCCGGAACCAACCAACCAGAATGCTTCAGAGGCCCAAAATGAAGCAGAAACATCCATGGATCAACGTCACGGTAAAGAAAAAATGGCGGGACCAATGCCGTTTCAAGCATCATCTGACTCCTTCATCCATCTATCCCAACTTGACGAGTATATCAAAGGAGCTCTCAAAAGGGAGTTTGAAGGAAGTTCAAGGCCAACAAATATGTATGCCAAGCCTTACACTTCAAGGATCGACGCCCTCAAGACGTCGTTGGGATATCAACCGCCGAAGTTCCAACAATTTGATGGCAAAGGCAACCCAAAGCAGCATGTGGCACACTTCATGGAAACATGCAACAACGCTGGGACATACGGCGATCTCTTGGTGAAGCAGTTTGTACAGTCATTAAAAGGCAACGCCTTCGACTGGTACATCGACCTGGAGGCTGGTTCCATCGACAGTTGGGAGCAGTTGGAGTACGAGTTCTTGAATTGGTTCTACAACACGAAAAGAACCGTCAGTATGACA